TTGTCTGGCTATGTCTCGTGAGATGTGTTTTGTGTTTTTTTTCTCTTTCTTTTTTTTTTTCTTTTTCGAAGGAATTTTACAGGGCTAGAGAAATCTCCGTATATCATATTTCGTTCGGCAATTATCACGAATCTTGTGTGTGCAACGGAAAAACGGTAGTGGTACGTTTATACGTCCATACTTTTCAGAGTTATCTCTCGTTACCTACGTATACGTAGAAAAATTACGCGACTCTTGTTCTTATCTTATAATTACTACTTACTAATGAATTTACGTTAACAAACAAACACAAGTTGTTTTTACTCGCGACAAATACGCGTTACTTTTCCAAGTAAAGTAGTCTAGAGTTTTTCATTCATCTACACGCGCCTTCTAATTAAGAAAGCAAGAACGCTAAGGTAAAGGTCCTAAATAAAATATACGAAGACTCTCGCTCAAGCCACTGTGTGACCCTTTATTTCATGCCTTTTCTATCGACTTTCAATTTTTTCCCTCGTCGTGCTCATTCATCTTCAATCCCCCCGCTTCGTCTCGCTTTTCTTCGATGTCGCATTAAGATCAGTACGTGTGTATTACTCGACTGTCCACTGATTTCATCCTTCATTTCGGCCCTTGCGCTGTGTCGTGCATCTGTGTCTTGCGTCTGTCGTGTGCCTGACAGCTCGTAGATGTGCGGGTACGTCAGAGGACCGTGGTAATTTAGAAAAGGTCTCGGGATCGTAGATCGCACCTGTTCGCGACTATTTCGATGAATGCATACGTTGGGTATGTGTGTATGTGTACGGTGCAGCATGTATATGAAATAGAGACACGGAGAAGGACGGACGCCTCTTAATACACTGCGCCCTTGATTTTTTGTTTGTTTATTTAACTCGTTGCACGATTTTTACAAGTCTTTAAATGCCAAAGGTCACTTTTTAAAAATATAAGTTATATCATCTTTGTTTTTTTTTCTCATTAATCTTTCGTTCTCGCGCGACTTGTCTCTCTTTCGCTCTCGCTCTCTCTCTCTCTCTCTCTCTCTCTCTCTCTCTCTCTCTCTCTCTCTCTCTCTCTCTCTTTTTCTCATACATTTTCACTCTTGCCTCATTCACATATTGCCACTTGTGCTACCGTATTCACTTTCATCAAATTTCTCTCTTTCTCTCGACTTTCTCAACTCTCTTTCTCTCCCACTCTCTCACTCTTCTTTCTCACTCTCGCGCTGTTCTTTTTAAGTCTTTCCTCATAAAATCCTTGTATCATTAGTAGTACTCGTTTTCTTCATTACCTATTTAACTTTTCTCTAACGGGGGAAGAAAATTCCCCAAAAATAATATTAGTTCTATCAGTTCGGTTATCAGTGTAGCGTTTTGAGTGCGTATTTGGCAATACATGACGTCCGCAATGTACGTAGGAACGAAAAAGGAAAATTTTAACGACTTGGATCAACTTTCGGCACAAAATTCGCGCTTTCGATATTGAAACGCTATGAAGGTAAAAAAATATTTTTAATGGAAACAGGTGAATATAGAATTCTGATGCAGACTAGCTGCAGAGAAACTTGCGAAGAGTTGGTAAACGTTTCGTGATTAAAAGCGTGCAATGAGTTGTCGCAGGAACATCGCGAACGTCCTGCATTGCGACAAATCGATAATTAATTAATACTTCTTTCTCGCGTAACTGTTATAGCGGTAGCATCGAATTTCTGTCCTCTCCACTTGTACGGTGGTGAGTACCTCGAAATTTACGTGGTTACAGCTATTTAGCGTCGCGCTCGTTGCAGTTCCCTGTGTTGCCGCGAGTATTTGTTATTTATTATTAACATTACCATTAAAAGGGGGCTCCTCATATACTTGCTCCTCGGCTCTTATTCCGTTCGCAATTCGTTCATCCTACGCTGAAATCTCCGGGGGCGTTTATTATTTATACAAATTTTGGCGAAACTCGACCGATGTGTCGCCCGTTTGTTCTATCGATGTCTTCTTCTTCTTCTTCTTCTTCTTCTTCGATTTATTCCTTCTGCTTCTATGTTTTACTTTTTTTTTTTTTTTTTTACATAAAGCTAACCTAGCACGAGTCGCGCCGCACTCTTCATGTCCGTTCTCCCTGCCATCCTCTTTCCTTCTCTTCCTTTCTCTCGCGCTCTCTTTTTCCGACTCTCTCTCTCTCTCTCTCTCTCTCTCACATCCTTTCTTTCTTTTAAAGTCGTGTAATTTACAGTTACTATACAACATGACTGAAAATACCTTAGACCACGATAATACAATCATAATCGTACTGTTTTTTACTTTTTTTTAGTTACTTAATTTTATGTATGCTTTTATTTTTTATTCCTTAGTATTCCTTTTTCGTTCTTCTTGTACGCGAGTATCATAAAACACTTATGTTCACTTATCATACCTCGTACAACGATACTGCTTCTTCTAAAGTTTCTTAGAGTTTCTTCTTTAGGTACTTACATCTCTATCTATGTATAACCATCTACCTATATATATATATATATATATATATATATTTATATATATATATATATAATAATTTTCTCTCGCTCTCTTTTTATCTGTCTCAAGCACTCTTAATTCAAGCACTCGCACTCTATTTCCGTTCGTCAATCTATTGATCTGCCTATCTAAATGCCTATCTAACGATTTAGCTATCCATCTACCTATCTAAACGTCTAGCTACTTTTTTTTCTTTTATATTCAAAGTATCCGCGCTTGTCACCTGCCGCGCGACAAATCTCTTAATTATCCGTGCGATCACGCCGCCGATCTCGTTTCACAAAACGACACGCCCGCTCGTCTCGTCTTCGCTCAACGATAATATCTACAGAACTCGTTGGTCGCCGCGAATTTGGAAATGCCGGGTAACGCTCGTCGTGTGACGCGAGCAAGACCTTTCGTCCGCGGGAACTCGACGGCGAATCGTCCCTTCTCGCGCTCCTTCGACTCGTCATCCCATCACGACTAAATGCGAAATGAATGTAGCGCGGAGGTAACGCGAGCGGTCCGAGAAGCCAATTGTACACGCGTGGGCTCCGGCTCTAACGAGAGAACCGCGATCACGACCGTTGTCTTCGTTATTACTTTCGTTTCTAGCGGCCGGACATGGAATCTAACGAGAGGCCGGTCGAGGTCAGATACGAGACTCGGCGTCTTCTGCGCGGTCATTTCTTTGTATTCTCCTGTACGCTCTCTTAGCTTCATCTCTCGTTCTCTTAGAAAAGAAGATCGAAGGGACTGAGAGGGGTGAAGGGGCGTGCGGAGAAGTAAGTCTCCGCCGAGTGAGAGGGGCTGATGGTGGATGAGGGTGCGGAGGAGGGGGATGTCGCGAGCGCGACGACGACCACGGTATCCGAATATGGCTATCAAAAAGACGTCTGTGGCCGTTCACGGCCGTTCATATATATCCTAAAATTGTAAATGCTACATATATATATTTATTTATTTATAATTAATCGTGAACATGGTAACAAATAATGAAACATTGAAAAAATTGCACAATATACAAACTCAGTGTTCCGCTCGTCTCTTACCTTGGATTCCCCACCTGTCTGCGGTTTGGAATTCATCCACGGCGTACACTCGCACGCAGCATTCAGTCACACGCCGAGACACACACACACATACACACACACGCGCAACACGCACGCACCACACACGCAGGCAGACATACACGTATACACGCGCGCATCGACGCCCCACGCAACCATACACAGACGCATGCACTCTCTCTCTCTCTCTCTCTCTCTCTCTCTCTCTCTCTCTCTCTCTCTCTCTCTCTCTCTCTCTCTCTCTCTCTCGCAAGCGTTACACACATGCACTCGCACGAAACCGTGCCGACACTCGTCAGTCGGGCTTACTCAATAGGTACGGTATCATTAGGTTCTACGTGCGTATCAATTAATTTATTTGGCCACTGAACATTTAAAATTTAGTTATTTTCTTTCTCATCTTTCTCTCTCCCCCCTCTCTCTCTTTCTCTCGCTCTCTCTCTCTTTTTCTCCAGTTATTTCGTCTCTTACGTCAGATGAGAAAGAGTTTTATAGTCTTCTCAAAGTTTCCTCCTTTCCTCATTTTACTCTTTTCTTTTTTTTTTCTCCTTTTGATGAGTGCTGCAACGATTCCCTTGCACTCTTTCTCTGTGTATGTATTTTTTTTTTCCTTTTTTCATCTCGGTACGAGTCGTTGCTCGTCGCACCGGACTATGGCCGGTTGTTCCGTTTGAGCGCGCGCGACATATATCTTAATTATAATATCGTAATATCGGGACCTGCTGCAGAATCGATGACGCGCGAGACGAGCGATCTCGCGACAATGTTCGGCGCTGTTCTTGAGCGAATTAACGCGCTCGCGCGCGGATACGCGAGGAAAGAATCATAAGAGGACGATCGTCTGCCGTCGATCATGTGCGCGAGACGGGGAATTATTCGCGAAAAATGCTCGGCTGCATGAAAAGTGCACGAAAGTCTTATGCGTATTATTATTACTGCCCGTATATATTATCTTTATCTACATTGTTTCGCAATGAGAGAGAGTATGACGAGAATATTAAAAAATATATTATATATATCATTTGTATTCTGCTGAGTTTCTCGCGTGATGATCATCCCGACGAATCGTTCCCCTGCTCGCGCACGTTCCGAGATGAACCTATTGCTGAGCTGAAGAAATTCATAAGGAGAGAAGCCCTCTCCCTCTCTCTCTCTTTCTCTCTCTCTCTCTCTCTCTCTCTCTCTCTCTCCTACTTTTCCTTTCACCGCGGCGTGCAAAAGTCCGAGGAAATTTGTCGCGTAAGAGACACGTAAAAATCACCTTGAAGGCAGCGTCGATCACGGCGAATCGTATGTGGCCTAACGAGTATCTCTCTTTCTCATTCTCTCTTTCTCTCTCTCTCTCTCTCTCTCTCTCTCTCTCTCTCTCTCTCTCTCTCTCTCTCTCTCTCTTTCTCTCTCTTTCATTCTCTCGTTCTCTCTCTCTTTCTCTCTCTCTCTCTCTCTCTCTCTCTCTCTCTCTTCCTTTCTTTCTCTCTCTATCGACTACGAACTTTGAAAGCTCAAGTGCAAATCGGCATTCAACGGAAATCAGCCCTAAATGGCGAAGCGAAAACGGTCGGACCGTGTCTGCAGTAAGCTTCTTCGCGAGCGGACTTGTAACGGCGCGGCGCGGGAGAGTCGGCGTGCGACCCGGCATAATTGTAATTCGCACTGTAAATTCGGGATTAGCACCCGGGCATGCCGGTAAATCTCGCTGCCGTCGAAACTGGCCGAAATCACGTATTCAATTACCGCGCCTCGTATCCGCCTCGACTCTCCGTTGTGCGACGGCGCCGCTGTTGGGACTGTTGTATCGTGTCGTGGAGACACGACGGACAACGACGACGACGACGATGTAACCGCGGATAGCCGCGCGGAGCTCCCGGGAAAAAGTAAGAGAAAGAAAATAACGTTTGGCACCGACAGTCTGCATTTATTGTCCTCGCGAAATCTCTACATTTTTCTCTAGTTTTTAGTGCACGCGCGCATGCGCGACGACGCACGCGGATGCCCGCGTACGATACCGTATTTCGTCGTCATCGTCGTTGTCGAATCGATCGGATTTCTTGTCTCTTATATTCCTTTTTCTTTCTTTTCTTCTTATTTCGTTTGTTTTGTCCAGAAGGGCAGACGGTTTTATGTGACATGATGCAGCAGAACGTATATCGTTCGTCGAATGTTGCAATTTAATCGCGAGTGAATATCCGCGGCGCTCGTGTTTGCGCGCTTCGGCGACGATTTGAGGATCGACGAAAACTTGGGCTTCCTTTCTGATCGATTTTCTCTCTCTCTCTCTCTCTCTCTCTCTCTCTCTCTCTCTCTCTCTCTCTCTCTCTGTCTCTCACTTCCTCTCGCTTCTCCCTCGTCCTCGAGAACTTCCCCGTTCGCAAAGTTGCGGCTTGAAATCCTCGACGGTAGCGCTGATCTTAGAATGTAACGAATTGGCAGTGATTGACGTCTCTCGTGTGAGACTCTTCCCGTGCGTGTGTGGCTCGGGCGACTCCTCCTCCTCCTCCTCCTCCTCCTCCCCCTCCTCCTCCTCCCCCTCCTCTTCTTCTTTTTATTTTTCTTCTTCTTCTTCCCTTCTTCTTTTTCTTGTTCAACTACTCCCTCTTCTCCAGAGGTCTTACCTCTTATATTACATTGGCTGCAGTCTCTTGCTAGATCATTGCTAACCGTCGACGTTTCCGTTTCCTTAAATTCGCACGAGCTACCGGGGTCGAAGATTCGTTTCGCGCCATTCATTTGGCCCTTAGAGACGAGCGTGTTGTCGATCGCCTATTTGGCTCTCCTCCTCTCTTTCTTTTCCTCCCTTTTTCCTTTCCTTCTCGCGTTTCATGCCTTTTCGCGCTGATCAAGCTGATGTTTGGATTGCAATCTGAAGATGCGTAATGTCGTTTTACACGTGACTCGCATCCGATTCAGCATCCATTCGATCGACAGACCGACTGCTCGTCAAGCATCCTCCTCCTTTTTTACATAGTTACGTCAGAATAGCCCCCGTGCATCGTCTCTAGACACGAGCTCGATCTGCAATCGTCTCCGAACGACGTCTCGCTGATCATCGGTCTTCGCGACAGCGATCCTACTCGAGAGGACGAATTCGCGCCTAACGGAACGGAATCCGACGTCTCTCGTCGGGTATATCGCCCTGATAGGAGCGACTTTTGTAAATCTCTCTCTGCGGTCGTGATGGTTGTTCGTCGAGTGTAAATACGCGATAGGGTCGATCCTCTTCTCTACTTGCGGCATGCTACTAGTGACCCCGGAAGATACTGGATCGCGTGAATCCCCCGCGCAGAAGTCGAAGATCCCCGCGATCTTCACGAGGAAGAAGTCCCGACGGTCCCGGCCGCGGAGTGTGACGCGCGACCGGGACCGTTCGCGGAGACGATTGATTACAGGTGTCTCTTCATGTGGAGAGCTAGATGGTCGCTGCGGGAGAAGCATCGGTCGCAGTGCCGGCACTTGAACGGCTTCGCGCCGGTGTGCTTGCGGTAATGGCGTGTCAATTCGTCCGAGCGCGCGAATCGCCACTCGCAGCCCTCCCAGCTGCACTTGTACGGTTTCTCCCCTGAAACAGAAGACGGGAAAAGCTATTTAACGAATCCGCCGTGGACGCGCGCATACACGTGCCCGATCGTCCGATCGGTGATCGCGAGAACAGTCGATAGTGCCGCGATTTGCTCCCCCCCCCCAAGAACGTCACTGCGACTTTTTATCGGCAAACGAGCACGCGCAGATGTGAACAATCTGCAAGATCCGATAATGTTCCCGGAAAAATACCCGGCAAAATGATCATGCTTCAAAAAGACACATATGGAGTATCTCAAGTTATTACATACACACACACACACACACACACACACACAGACACGACAACTTTATTTTCTAATCTCGCGTCCAATTTTTCTTTCGCGATGAAAACGGAAGCAAGTCGAGCTCGTATCCGCGGAAAAAGTGCCCTTCATATTCGCAATAAGATCAGCACAAGTCGTAGGTCCGCTTATTAGTACAGATATACCCTTTGTCACACTGCCGACGCGAAACGATTGTCCACGTAGAGATTGCACGTTATTGTGCACGGCATCGTGCAGTCGAGGACGTCACGTTGGCCGCAGGATGGCATTTGTTTAATTTCGACGTACCGCGGCGCGCCGGCCATTGTCAATCGCGCGGTTTGCACGGAACGTAATAATAGCGGATAACGGCCGCCTCTGCGGAGATAAGCGGAACCGCGGAGTTCCAGTTCTCCTACTTGAGGTAGCTCGTTCTCGTTCAATGTTATGCGGTCCAGCCACCGCAGGGGCTTCCTTGATCGCGCGATAGTAAACGTAACGCGATAGGCGTAAGCTTGTAGAGCAAACGCGATTCAATAGATTTCCGCGAGGCGATATGGGGATTGGACGTTATTATCCCTCTAAACAGGCTATCAAAGACAATGAGTGGTATCTAACGTCGTTAACTGCGACGAAGCGCCACCGTCGACGGCGACGACGACGGGGCTCTCCCGATCCAACTCAACCGCCGGCACAATATCAGCAGCAGCACGCCGCGCGCGCGCGCGCGATGCAAATCCGCAGCGTCGCAAACCCGGGAGTAATCTCCCGCGGCGATTGAATCTGATTTAAAAACCGGTATAACTACGAGATCCGCGCAATACCGCTCGTCCATCAGCGCTGAGCCGCGACACGTGCGCGAGGCATTAAGCATCGCCCCGCGTAAAAAAGAAGGAAAGAAAAAAAAAAAAAAAATAAGAGAAGAAAGGAAGAAGAGCGAGACACGTGCGCGCGCGCGCGCGTCACCGTGTAATCGGTACACACCCGGGCGAAAGGAGGAGCGGTGCGTTATTAAGCCACCCCCTCCCCGTAAATAATCCATTCGGTAATATAGAAGGCGGCTGACGTTGATGAGGCCGCGGCGGAGAAGAGACAATGCGGGGTCACCACCTGTGGCGCGATGTTAGCGAGCTTAACAAGCCGAGGGAGTTCCGCAACGTGGAAAGAGAAGCGAGGGCTGTCGGGGAGGGCGGGGCAAGGGGGTGCTTCGAAATCGGAGGCCGCGAGAACGACTGCGAAGCTGCCCTACCCCCCGCCGGTAAAACTCGAGCTTGGCGGGAGAATGGGGTGGCTGGCGTCGCGCCGCCCTTTCGCCGACGCGTATCGCGACTCATCGACTTTGCGATGACAAACGACCTTCGTCACTCCTGATGGGTCCGTTCTTCGTGGCTCGCGGATGCGCGCTAGAATGTTGTCACGGACAGCAGAGGGAGCAGGGGGAGGGAAAGATCGCGAGACAAGGCGCGGAAGAGACGCGTGGTTGAGTGAGACGAGTCGGTGCCGCTTTTCTTCTTTTTCTCCTTTGACGTTTCCTCCCTCTCCGCGCGCTGTTGATTGGTTAGTTTAATCCGGGCCAATCATCGACTCGCAAGCGAACTCGAGCACAGTCCGTTCGCTTTCGAGCGGTCAGCCTAATTTAACAAGGACACCGAGAGCTGACTCTCCTTCTCTCTTACTCTACGGGTGCGGGTGCTTCAACAATGGGAGACAATTGAATCGTTCTCGTTTAATGAACGACGGGAGATAATGAAAAATTATCAAGCGCAGGCAAAGTTGCAGGCGCGGCAAAGTTGCCGGGCGGGAGCATTGTCTCGTTGATTTCAGACTTACTCTCGGAGCGCGTCGGCGCGGACGTGTCTCTTGTCGCGATCTAGATACGTCCGTAGTAAAGTACTTTGAGCGCTCGCACTGAAATACGATCTTCTATTATTTTTGTCAAGGTACGAAATTTGTCGGGCATATCCGACTGCATCTAGGAACTGATGCGCGAGTATATTTCACAACACACCGCCGTCGAGATAAAAGTAATACAAATGCGCGTATAAAACCCCGGGGAGGAACGTTTAACACGTCGCCCACCCGCGGCTTTCATAAATCCGAAAAAGAGGCGGAATCCTCGGCGCCACAAAGTGCTGTTTTTAGATTGCCGTGTCTGTTTGCGAGTTTGCATCGAGGAGAGGCACCGCTGTAATTTAAATGTAGCGTTTTCTCATTCGTACGACGCGCCGCGTCCGCGGAAAGTAGATGTAACAGATTGCGTCGTGAGCGTGTGTTCATTTCAGCCTCTCCCGGGCGAGCGTGTTTTTCATCGATACCTCATGTTATTAACCGACCGAGCAAGATATAGGGGAAACGCGAGATGCACCGAACGCGATGCGGTGTCTGCAGCCTCTCCGATCTTCAGAAACTAATATCACACACATTGGCGCAAACGGTACTCGGAACAATAATAATCATGTATGGAATCGCAAAACGCGAGGTACAGCATCAGACCGCAGATCGTTGCACGGTCACGAGCTGCTCCATTAAAAATCATCGCGATAAACGCGAAGTTATTCCAACGTTATTCCAACGTTAACCGCATCCACATTCGCGATTCGCCTCGGCACGGGCAATCGTGAGTTTCGTTTCAGCAGAGAAAGAGAGAGAGAGAGAGAGAGAGAGAGAGATACAAAGAGTAGTCAAATTGGGGAGGATCTACACCCTCCTCTTGCCGCAACTGACGTAATGTCACAATGATGTTGGTGCAAGTGACGTATTCCCGAACGACGTTCGCTGGCCCCCGAGAGGGTGGCGCGGAGTAGAAAAAAATTACAACGCGCTGCCAAAGTTGTTCCGACGGGGGTTGGAGCGAGATCCCCGCTTTTCCGTGCGAGTTTCTCATCCTCGCTAGGAGGTGACGACGACAAATCCAGCCGAGACGTAGCGACGCATAACCAAATCCGTCCGCCCTTCGTCTTCCCCGTCTCGCCCCGCTGTGCTGCGCCGCGCCGCGCCGCCAACCCCCACCTGCATACACACATCCCCGACTGGCTGTTTCCGGCGCCTCCGCCAACGACACCCGACATTCTCGGAGGCCGCGAATCTCCGGAAAATACGGCACACGTACTTGACGTACCTCACACCGTTCACTCCCTCCGTCCACCCGCGCGCGTCTCTCTCTCTCTCTCTCTCTCTCTCTCTCTTGCGCGCCCCTGTCGCGTTTCGAGAAAACCAACCCCCGGATACCACCCGCCCGCTCCCGCGGCGCCCTGTCCTCCGCAGCCAGCTAGAGAAATGGCGACACGAATACGCCTGGTTCCCTTCTTCTCGACGGCGGGAATTGCGGACTCGCGCGTCGGAAGGAAATTCCGGGAGCGATAAGAATAAACCGCGACGGGGGTGGAAGGTGCCGGCGGCGCATGTATTACAAGTGGCCCGGCGCGCGGCGAGAAAAATTGTCGCCGACTCTACGGACTATTGGACCGCTGGCGCGGACTTTTCGAGGGAAGAATACTTCGCTCGCTCGGCGATGCTAACTTCCGCGCGCGCGCGCGGAATCGAGTGTATCTCTCGCGATCCGTCGGCGGTATGAACGTGGACAGGTTTACGCAGTTATTCGTCACATTCACGCTCAATCCGTGTGTGAACATCTATTCCTGTCACACGGAGGAGCAATAAGGAGAGAGAACGGCAAAGCGTGCAAAGGTCGTCTTTCATTCATCCGGCGTTGACTTATCGCTGTCAACGAGGTAGTTGTTAAGGCTGACATTTACTCCACCGTGTGCAATTTGCAAGTTTCATACTCCCACGCAGCGGCGCTTCGGCCACCGGAAGCGTTGTCCTCACGACCCGCCGAGCATGAACCGAAAGTGTCGTCGGCACGGCTCTCTCAGCGTGCGCGGCGAGCGCGAGGTAAAAATCCGGTGTCGGCCGAAGAGAGCCGCGGCGGGTTAAACACGAGAGAGCCGCCGCCGCCGCGCATGCACTCGCGGCGGTAACGCAATTTTTCAAAAATCTCGAGCGGCTGCGTAATGTTCGATTCCACGGGCGAATTAAATTTTGCGTAGCCATAGCGACCGTGGCGTAACGCTTTGCACGACCGCAGGCGTTATCGCGGACGCGTGCCCGTCCGCGCGCTCTCGGACGGCGCGCGCATGAGCGTCGTCCTCGCAGGCGCGAGGGGTGCGAGCGAGGAGGGGTGAGAGGGGTTGTCCGCGCCGGGATACACGCGAAACGACATGTACGTGCAGCGGGCATTGCGCATTTTATCGCCGCATAATGGCCTCCCGGCGGTTCGTTACCACCTACGTAATAAAGCCATATTAAACAAGACGGCTTAACGCGTTAACTCCCCGCCCCCACCCTCTCGTTCCCGGTTCCCTCTTCCTCTTTCTCGTCCACCCGCGTGGTGACGGACACCTCTCTCCTTCGCGCCAGTTTGCCGCCGCGGCAACGAACGTCGCGAAACGTTGTGATATGGAAATCACCATCCTCGTGTCGCTCTCCCGCGTCGTCTTCGATATTTTCAAGCGCGCGTCAGTGCCGACTCTCTCTCCTCTCCTCTCCTCTCTCTCTCTCTCTCTCTCTCTCTCTCCTCTCCTCGCTCGCTTCCCCGCTCCGCAGCCCGCGCTCGTCTCATTCGTTCATCGACATTCCCCGGGCTGGACGATCGGCGCGAGCTTCCGTTTGCGCGCATACGGAAAAGCGAAAAGCGCTTCGCGGGAATCCGGGAAATTAATTTTTTCTACTTGTA